TGAAGTGGGAGGAATCCATGAACCGCTGAATAACGGAGCAAACAGCGCTACGCTTTCTTCGCACACCGTTTACGAGTATACATCCCGTTACGATGAGCTTTCTAGATTCGAGTGGCATGATTTCGTTCGGCTCTATATAAAGGTACATTGGAATCGGATGAAACTATGGAAGCGTGATGCCTTAAGTCCTCCAGTCATGCATACAAACTGAGCATGAGAAACTGACATGCATACAATTACCGATGTTAGGGATCTTCCTAGCTATCTTACTGCAAACGGCAAAAGAACAAACTCGCCAGGGAGTCGATCCCCTGACCTCTTTTTCGTGAGCCTCGACCACAGCCCCTGCGCTTTTCTGCTTCATAATTCCTTTCAGAGAAGAGTTCAGCAGATAAGGAACACATATTTGAGCTCAGCGTCCCAAGGCGCGTATACACATATACATCTCATTTCAAATGGCCGGGTTGACCAAATGACCTTTCCTGGTTAGACCTTATCGGTTGATTTCCTCTATGATGAACAACTATATTGAGAAGAAAGTTTTCCGTTGATTTGCATGGTAGTGACTTTTCAATTCGATTCGCGTTTCAGAATGAAAAATTAAGTGAGAAGAATTTGGGGAAAAGAGTTAGAAAGAGGAGAAGGAAAATAATTTCGGAAGAATCACGCACCGAATTGGTGGGCAGTATCGTGGACATTCCTAATGAAGGTTGTATTTGTATCGAATTTTTCGTTTAAAACAATACAGAAATAGGCGCAAAATACGTCCTTTATTTGACAAAGCTTGCAGATCGACCCGAGAAAACAAAAGCGCCAACTTTCACGGTATGTTGGGAACGTTTTTTTTTCAGATTTTTTTCATGAGTCATTCATTTCCATCATTTTGCTTCACACTCTCGTGGTTGAACTCATTACCCCTACGCATAGTACGTGGATAACGAATTGGAAGGGAGCTACACTACGGTCTCAAACTCCGTTCTTCACAAATAATCCCCCCTCCATGTTGTTTACTACCCCTCAAGTGCGCTGAGTAGGACGACCAGTGGTGCCTGGTATCACCTGCTCGCGACGCTATTCCTGAAGTCCAAACTAGGCTGCTGGAGCTGATACCATAAAGTCATCTTCATGTCTTACATCCCATGAATTTTCCTCCCAGAAATTCGTCTGTCAGAACACGCGAAAAACCCGTTTCTATCTAATTGGAGATTAGTGCGTCGATGAACAAAGCAAGCAGTTAGACTGTTGTCAACTAGCAGCTATTATTACTTACAAAATGGTCCCGCTTACATAGCGCTAGACTGATAGATCAGTTGGATGTCAAAGAAGGGAAAGCGCCAATTATAAAGGGAGGTTAGGCCTATATAGAGAAGGTAAGGCGCTTTCGTGGCAAACGTGCAACTGTAGCGACATTAAGCAAACAGCGTTTTTGCCCTTTTCTGTGGCCATGGCTACCTTGTGACAACTCGGCCTTACATAGGCGCTACTAGCCAGTGATTCGTTGTGTCTGATGGTGCTGGCGAGGGAGGGTGAGAGAAAACGCTACGCCCCCTCTTCCCCTCCCGGTGCGTAGCGTCTCCTCCTGGGGTTAGGTCACCCAAAATTGATACGCCGTTCATTCGCTCGAGCAAGCTTAGGACTAAGCCTAGCCCAATCATAGGCTTAGGCATAAGCCAATGTGTAAGCATAAGCCTCAACCTAAGTCTAAACCCAAACTTAACCTTAAGCTTCAATGATCGCGCAACTGTGGTGACCTGACCCCAGGAGGAGAAACGCACGTCTCCCCGGTGAAAGAGTGGCAAGCTAACCGCCCAGATTGACTTCCATCTATCGGTAATTCCATTCTGCCGCCAAAATTCAAGAAAATGTGTTGGAAAAAAAACTTTCATTTTGATTGTTTCAAAGGCGACGTTCGCGAAGGCAGAAGGTTGTGTGGTTTTGGTGACGTCATTGAAAGTCATTGGTGGAGGATGTGAAGAGACTGTAACAACACACTCAACATCAGCACGGTGACTGGTCTAACTCACCAAAGATATTGAGATGATGTCATCGAAGTCGCACTGCCTTCAAGCCATCGTGATCACTGCTTGAATGAGTTTAATTTGTTTTTTTCTCACTGCACAGCTACATCTCACGCTCGCTAACTTTAAGTCTCCTTCCGGATATCATATATCAATAGAAATTGTAATAGCTTCATGGTTTTAATACTAAAGAATGCTTGAATGTGATTTTTTCGATAAGCAATAAAACTAATCTGAATTACTGTTTCAGCATCAAGGACGTCTCGAAAACCGTGCTCTAGGTAGAGGAGAGGTCTTTTTTGTACATAATCAAATTATCCTTTCCAGAAGTCGGTGTGCATTTTATTTCCAAAAACTTTCAATCCACCAACTTTTTTTTTTTCGACAGAAGATTCATGACCATAGTTATACTTCAGAAGACAGACAAGCTAGTGAAGGTGAGAGGGAATCGTGAGAAAGCTAATCAACTCCTTAGTCACCATAGCATTGTTGAGCTGCGAATTGGATCTTCCGCAAGTCTAGCTAAAGCTAACTAATAATAATAATGTGGTAGGCGTCGCACACAATTGCGCACACTACATAATCCTACGGCTATGTGGAATGGTGCTTCAACAGTCTTCAAATTCAGCCCTATCCACCACCAATATTCGGCCCTTCCGAGCTAGATTTTATTCGCTTTTTTCCGTCTCTATGCTATTCTGGATCACATGGCGATTTTCGATTTTGACTAAACGTCCCCTTTCTTACCATAGAGAACGCTCCTACTCCCCCCTCGCAGGTGGGTCTCTCTTAATTCGATCTGGTTTATCAGTGCACAGCTTTAATCATTTTTTAGTCTTCAATCTGAGACAGAGCTCCACTTAGCTAATGTATCTTGTGTAGTTCTTGGAACATAACCCATCCATCTCACACTTGATTCATTTTCTCCAGGTAGGTCCTTCAGGTAGCACTGGGATTTTTGGAAGACATACAGACCGACATATCGACAAACAAGCGTTTGATATACAGTAGCGGTCAAAAGTGTTCGCCGAAACGATTTTTGCATTATTTTTTCTCGCTTGAGCAACGCCCTCCAAAGATTGATATACTATGTTTTCTAGTGTTTTTATATCCTCAAGTCTTAAAGAATCAGGATATTCAAAAGAAAAATTTTCGAGGCCACCATTGATTTTTTTCTGGCAAAAAAAGAGAAGCACGAAAAACCGTTTCGGCGAACACTTTTGACCGCTACTGTAAGTAGGATATCCGGAAGTGCATTAATGGATTGGTTGACAGCGGATTCAACAGTGTTTCTTCCCTCCTAAGCTAGTCCTAGCGTTGTTCACCATGCTGCCGCAGCGTGGCCCCTCCAAAGGCCCAAACTCCTGGATATTGCATTCTTCAAACTTACAGAGACTGACCAGCGACCTAGGAACAGCTCTGATAGCTTATCTAGGAAATGCTCTCATTATCCTGAGAAGGACTGCTGTTACAGCAAAAGTTATAAAGTTCCTCTTTGTGCACAACTAGCTCTCCGCAGGAATCCTCTGAAGCTCCTCAAATTGTAGTAGTACTTCGACTATTAATGTTAGTAGATACAGTGTGTACCAATAGAAGTCGAAAGCCTAAAGAAGAGTGCGTTGCACCCTACTCATCAGTATGTCCCCCCCCCCCTTGTGCACGTGACTCGGTGGAGGCAATGGCTGTTGTGACCATTTCCATGATCCACCATATTTTCAAGCATTGAACACACAATTTCAAAAATCGCAGTTTCTCCTAGAAATTCACTGCGTAGAAGCCCGTTGCCAATCACAAGAAAACCTTCACCACGGTCTCCCATGGTTTTGTTCTTGCACACATCGCTACAAACTCCTTCATGCTCGATGAGGATTAGTTTTCAGCACGAAGGCGGAACGAGAAGGCCTGGCAAACCTGCTGTTGCTGCTACGCAGGATATGGTAATCGTTTTCAGTGGGATCATCCCTTCCAAAAGTTTCATGAGAAAACGATCTGCGTTGTAATTTAATTATTTCGTGATGTTGCATTGTCAACTTGAGCGGACCTTGCAACAACTGCTTTTATAAGAAATCAATTTTTACAAAATTTCAGCATGAGAGCGAGAAGGAGAAGCTGGCAAAGGTTGCTGCTACGCAAGAAGTGGTAATGAATGTTTGTAACTTTTGTTTGAAAATTCATCGTGTGTGGGTCCGGTAGCCTCATCACAAATGAAAATACCTTCAAAATAGTCTCAAAATAGTCCCTTTCAAAGTAGTCAATAATTTCATTCCCTAGAACACATGGCTGCAAACTTTTTCATACTCTGTGGAATTAACTTTCAGCACGAAGGCGGGCCGAGAAGACCTGTAAAGGCTGTTGCTGCTACGCAGGAAATGGTAATCATCTTTGAAAAAACTTTTCCTTCTAAATGTCTCATTAAGCAGAAGATCTATATTCTAAAGATTTCGTAATCTTGTGCCTTCAACTTGAGGTGAAACCTACAACAACCGCAGTTAAAATTACCGTTTTTCTTCTGTCAACGAGTTTTTAGGTGACAACTTCATTAACGGCCTGACTTTTCGACCCGATCCTCTTCCTCAAAGACCTTTACAATGAGATGTCAAAACTATAGCTCTAAACAAAAGCAGCATTGTATGTCTCATTTACTAATCACTGCTGAATTGGGTGGCGTTGTTCCATTCTCACGGTGGCAGCTGGCGAGTTTATTTCCCTCGATCGAGTTTCCCGGTTGATTTTCCTACGTTCCGGTAGAAACGCTGAAGAAAAAAGGCGTTTGGTTATGTAGATGCCAGTTCTTGAAGAAGATCCACGTTCAGGCCTTTGAGCAAGACCATTCGGTCTGAACGTCAGGCGTTAGTAAAGTTCTCTCCAAAAAACCTTGTTGATAAACAAGAACAAAAGAAGAAAAACAAAAAATAAACACACAAAAAATAATGATAAGCAAAAACAAAACAATAAACACTGAAGACAAACATTGAACTCAGCAACGATGTTTAGATTCTATGAAAAGAGAATTTGGAGAGCATAACAACGCCTTCAAAACGAGGTAAATTTATACACACTATTTCAGCATGAAAGCGAAAGGGAGAAGCTGAGAAAAGTTGCTGCTACGCAAGAAGTGGTAATGAGTGTTTTGAGTTCTTGTTTGACCAACCGTGTAAGCCCGGTGACCTTTAGAAGAAGGCAAAACTTTCACAGTAGTCTTCAGTAGTTTCATCCCCAGCCCAGGCGGCCATAAAATTTCCATATTCGATGAGGATCGAGTTCCAGGATGAAGGCGTGCGGAAAAGGACTGGGAAAGCTACTGTTGCGGCTACGCAGGAAATGGTAAGCGTTTCATCAAGAAGATCTACGTTCTAGAGCTTTTTGATGTTGCCTTTCAAGTTGAGGTGCAACGTACAAACAAAATAAACCTATACAAATTTCAGCGTGAAAGCGAGAGGGAAAAGCCGGCGAAGGTTGCTGCTACACAAGAAGTGGTAATTGAAGTTTTGCGACTTTTGTTCAGTACAAGAATTCGCGATAAGAACGAAGATCAAAGAAGGGAAAATGCATAGTTAGACGGCAGCGCCTCCTGAGGGTGCTGACGGAGTACAATTGCAGCGGAAATATTTTGGAGCTGCTCACTCTAGGCATAGCTCACTCTCTTGATCGCGGTTGGAGGGGTACGCCCCCGACTATCTAATCACTCGCCGCAGGTCTATACGTGGCGAGTGATTAGATAGCAGAGAGAGCGTAGTGTTGAAGAGGGCACAACGATGAGAGTCGCATCAATGCGCAAATCAACGGGCAAGGAGGGGGCCCATTTCTCGGGTTTGGGGCCGTTTCAAATGGCTTTCTTCTTCATCCCTGCTCCACTGACGCACTCTACCCTTATTTCTAAAGAGCTAACTTTCGTTCGTCAATTCTGGCCTTCTAAAATCCCCACCTTAGCCGGGTGACCATAGGCCGATGTCAGACTTTGCGAATCGCGCGATTCGCTACTAGCGATTCGCGCGATTCGCTAGCGTCCGCGGTCGCGTTGCGGTACCAGCCAATTGAGTGATTCACTGGCCGCGACGACCGCGACGCTAGCGAATCGCGCGATTCGCAAAGTCTGACATCGGCCTTAGCAAGGAAACAACCTTCATGTCTCGTGCGGTTTCATGCCCTACAGACACGGCCATAAACTTCCATACCTGTGAGAATTGAATTTTAGCACGACGGCGGGAAGAGAAGGCGTCGAAAACCCACTGTTGCTGCCACGCAGGAAATGGTAATCGTTTCCAATAAAGTCATCACTTTTACTGTCCTCAGTTTACAAAAAGATCTGCCTTGTAAGAGGTTTTTGTGATGATATGCGTCTTTCACTTTGGGAGTGAAAGTGCAGACAACACCTCTGAAACGGCAACCTTTTTCTTGAATCTGCACTAATAATGAAACAGTTTCGAACATGGTTGAAACCATCAGATTTGGTTGAGCGATTCTAAAAGTAGAATTCTTGAACCCAATAATCCCTGGCATGTTCTAGTACGAGACACGCTCAGAAAGGCCGGTTGCTACACAAGATATGGTGAGTAATATTTAAGAATAAGCCCTTGAATTTACAGCAATTTACTGCAAAATTATATTATAACCGCGCCTCCGCAGGCATCAAAAAGTGGATTGAGCTTAGAACGAGTTTTTAGGGCGAGAGCGAGGATACCAGGCCAGCAGTAGCTGCTGCTACGCAGGAAATGGTAAAGTTCATTTCAAAGCACTTGACGATTTTTTTGGAGTCGAGACACTGTGATCGTCCCAGTGGGGATATCGTAACATTTGTGCTTACGTGAGCTATGAGTTTCACTCTCATTATTTCAGCCGGAAAGGAGGACCGAAGACGCTCAACGCGAAACTTACAACACCCCCGGGTGGCCCGCATGGTTACCCTTTGGGAATTTTTTCTGGGATCGTGGTCATGTATACAGGGGTGACAAAAAAAGAAACACCACTCTACATTTCAGGCAGCATTATTAGCCTTTGGCTAGACTCAAACTGACTCCCCCCAACCTCTTATTGAAGAGCACATCCAATTCTAGGAATAAACGAGATGATAGCTTTATGCACCAAGGACATCACAAGAATTCGCCATGAGAACATTGTGCGCTGTTTGAGCTCAAGTGGTCCTCTACGGATCATGGACCCGGATCACGACGCTATCTGGCACTGGTTGGAAGGGATCTCGCACTTTCATAGCTACTGTCTCTCGGAAGCAGACTGTCGATTGAACCGATCAATGAAAGTTCGTAACTGCCTCAGGCTGGAACGATTACGGTAGACCTTCTCGAACGCAAGGGTGATGGAAAAATGAATTCATATTTTCAGTTTGGTGAGAACTGTGGAGGGGGGGGCCTACTTTTACTTAATGGGAGGAATCTAAAGGGCGTTTTTTCGTTAAGGTACTACATCAGCAGGTACCTTGTGCGACGCAGCAGATTGATAATGCGAGCAAAGTACTCTTTTTGCGCACCCCCTCGCAGTAATATGATCAGCAGCGCATCCAATATAGTAAGAGAAAAGCAGTGAGACGGAAACTTGTTTAGTATGATGACGACACGACGACACCCACGCAATCATCTAAAACTTGAAAAACACCGAAAATGGTACTTTTAAAGCTGATCTGGCAGTTTTTTTATGACGTAATTGGAGAAAGGAAACATAGGAGTTCTTGAAGATGTTGAAGATATTTTCAGCTCGAAGATGAAAGTGCCAAATCTGCCAAGGTTGGAACAAAAGGGATTGTGGTATCTCCTTAGGCTAATGCACATATGGCATATATTTGATATTGTTTTAGTGGAGACGACACGAGTAGATCTGAAAGTTACCATCATTTTGCGTAGAAGAGCCGGCGCCGAATATCACGTAAAGACCACTCGCTTAATTGTTGACACCTTAGAAGGTTGCTACTGTTAAATTTGCCTGAAATTAGGCGATTCATATGCCCTGATTACGGACAATGGCTTTATTTTTAGCGCGTCGGCGCCAGTCGTTGGCATCACATGGTGATGCGTTTCACCAAATTTGGTGTCAATTTGCGTATAGGTATTTTTATAAGGTTTTGTTTGTTGGTGGAGCCATAACCTTTTAGAGCAGATGAGGCACAGCGAAGTAAGAGTAAGATTACTATGTTCCTTGCCGTTAGTCACTGTCGCATGCGGCCGTCACATCTGACAGCGATTTTCTTCGCAATGAAACTTGCACCGTGGAGGCTACCATCCGCTGAGGGCAGCAATCCAAATGGATGAACGTCCGCAGGGTTCGTTCAAGGTTTACGCTTCGGCGCTCTTCCGCGCCGCATCGCTTAGGCGGAGGCTTCCACCCTGTCCGCGCTAAGACTAGGCGCGAGGCCACTCTGGCGTGCGTGCCATCCTCCTACATGAACGGCGCTCAGTATAGTTGGCGGGTTGGCTCGACATATTCTCTCTCCTTTGAGAGAGCGCAGAGAAAACGAATAGTGGGAGGCGAGCACGCACTTCAGCGCGTCAATGCGTCGCGCATTGTACGTGACTACAGCAGAACATTATAATTCACGCTTTACTTCGGGTGCTCGCTCTGTCTAAACGGCTTAAGTCTTCAGTTTTATGCAATACAGTCACGAATATGACATTCACCATCTCGGCGATGGCGTATTTGGCACCATATTGTCTGCTCGCGCTGGACTATTAACCAAAAAATGTGCATGTACAACGTTGATGCCACGAACTTCGTAATCAGGGTCCCAAATAACCCCTATACAGAAGTTTACACCGATTTTGGTGAAAACAAGGGTCGTGACAAGGTGGCGCCAACTGGCGCCAGATGGCCGCCACCGCTAAAAACGAATGTCGTTTTCGTATCAGCATATCGAATTACCCCTATGGGCATGTTACGGTTGACTCTAGATGTACTCAAGTACACTGCACCAGCAGAGGTGTTTTTACGTGAGTTCAGCGCGGGCCTATCGCCTGGAAATTGGGTACTTTCTTCTACAGTGCCTGTCGCATCTGATCAGGTTCACATTTGTTTCAGTGCGAAAGCGAAAACTCTGAACATAAGAAAGGAAGCTGAAACACAGCCCACGGTAAATTCTTGCCTTCTAGAATAGGACCGAATTCCTTGCTACTAGCGTAGCGATATATAACCAAATTCATACCTATTCCAGCATGAAGAGGAAACGAACGCTGTTCATCATGTAGCAGATGCAAACGTGGTATTTCTGTCAGAGATTTCTATTAGCCCTTTTCAAATATTAGCTACCAGTTTTGCTTGGCCCGCTATCGCGCGCACACCGCATGGTAAACCCAGCGTTGCGCAAATTCCAAAACGTAGTGGCGTTTTGAATGCGATTTGCTCCTGTACAATGACTTGCGGGGGCCAGCCGATGTAAAAGTCAGTGTTTTTATCCTCCCAGACAAGTCTGGTACCAATTAACCGACCCCGGAGGGATGGAAGCAGGGTCAACCGTCCGTTCGAACTGTTCGAACGAAGGGGTCGCATTTTGGTCGGAAGGGGGTCGCAATTTCGAGGACTGCCAGCCACAGGCGCGTGCGTGGCGTATCCGAGGGCAAGAATTGTTGTGCAGACCGCATTAGATTCGATTAATTATGCACAGAGAGACAGTTTTAGGCAAATTACGGTGTTTTCCTTGAGGAATAAAGAACAGTTGAATGCATCCCTATGAAAGGTTTGACTTCTCGGGGCTGAAATTAAAGTTCTTCGGGACCTGATTTTCTGAGGACGATTCTTCCAGACAACGGTAAAACATATAAGAAAGCAGAAATCTCGTAGTCTTCAAAAATGTCTTCGCCCCTCCTCCAACAAGCATTTTGCTGCTCAAAAAGGTGTGATTTTCTCGGAAAATAAATTTTGAAAAACGGTTTGGCTTGTTAGAAAGAGCAAATCCTGTACTTTCACCCCATGAAAAAAGTGCATCACAGAAATGAAAATGAAGTGAGTTATGGTCGCTGAAAGCCCAAAAACTCGCTTTTGCACGAAAAATGTTCGAACGGGACAATTTTTTGAAAAAGGGGACAATCACTAAAACTTTTTATACTGTTTTGTTAGAGAAATATTTGAGTTTCTGAAACTTTTTACAGATTTCCAAAATGTCGCATACGAAAGATTTTATGGGCCTTCAAAGTTGAAGGTGCGCCTTCTTAGAATTTTGGGTTTTCCACTTCTAACAGAAGTACTTTCCGGAGAGTTAGGCAATCCTTGTAGTTTTCTGAAAGCGCACCTCAGGCACAATCAAAATCTACCTCAACAAGTCAAAAAAATACGTCCCAAGAAAGTTATTCCCTCTGAAATTTTTTCTTCGCCGCGTCCCGTTCTTCCAGCGCCCGGGTGATACCTGCCGCGCTCCAAGGCCGACGCGACAACGCGACGCTTTCTGGCGCAACGGATTCATGTCTAGCACTCTTATTAACAAAAACAGGGGGTCGCAACTGGACCCCCTCGAGAGCTAGGGGGTCGCAAAAATCCCGAAAATGTTCGAACGTGACGGTTGACCCTGCTGAGGGCTGGTTGGCCCGGACGACGCACGACGCAGGATTCAGTCTCCGTACCGCGCGGTAAGCGTACCACTTGCCACGACGTCACTGTCACCCCAAATACTACATCGTTTGAAACAAATAGTGAACGGACGGAGTTAAGGTATAGAGCTGTACAGCGAAAACCAGGAGTATCTCTGTTTAGTGTATCGTTCCATCGATAAGTAAGTTTTTAGGTTGTTGCCTCGATGCACAGCTCATATTCTAGCTTCTTCGGGATGTAAAAATTATGGCGCCATACGATGTATTTGCTATTAGTTCGTCGAACATTGAATGCGAGTTTCTCCACCTCCCCGTCTCACAAACAATATGATTTTGGGCTGAAATTCAACTTTTTCAAACATGTGCAAGGTTTTTGAAACTGAACAGGCTTTCTCACAAAAAGGTAGCTGAATCAACAACGCAGGACTAAGGACATAGAAACGCAGAAGCGCGAGAATCGTCGAAGGCTTATTCACCATTTGAACGCTGTTCATCATGTAGCAGATGCAAACGTGGTATTTCTGTCAGAGATTTCTATTAGCCCTTTTCAAATATTAGCTACCAGTTTTGCCCCGCCCGTTATCGCGCGCACCGCCATGGTAAACCCCGTAATGTGGCTATACAATGACTTGCGGGGGCCAGCCGATGTACAAGTCAGTGTTTTTATCCTCCCAGACAAGTCTGGTACCAATTAACCGACCCCGGAGGGATGGAAGGCTTGGTTGGCCCGGGCGACTCACGACCCAGGATTTGATCCCCGGACCGCGCGGTAAGCGTGCCACTTGCCACTACACCACTTCCCCCAAATACTACATCGTTCGAAACAAATAGTGAAGGGACGGAGTGAAGGTATAGAGCTGTACAGCGAAAACCAGGAGTATCTCGGTCTAATGTATCGTTCCATCGATAAGTAAGTTTTTAGG